GAGGCTGAGGCAAGAAACTCACTTGAGCCCAGGAGTTGGAGGTTACTGTGAGCTATGATGTCACAGCACTCTACCCAGGGAGATAGCTTGAGGCTCTATCTCAAAAAAAAAAAAATTTTCTTTGGTTTGTGTAGTGTTCACTGGGCTGTGTTATGGCAACAGGTATAACCAGCATGAGCAGGTCTGGGAGGAAACACAGCTCCCCAGTTCCCAATGAGCCTTCAGCTGTGGGATGGGAGTGAGGTTGGGTAGGCGTGGACACCAGCAGCCTGTACGAGCGTGCCTGAATCTCGCTTGCCCGATGTTGGGGCACCAGGTGATCCCACAGGAAGTGTGAAGGACTTGGCGGTCAGGGGCACCCTGCTGTCCAGGGCCTGGGTGTGGGTGTCATCTGGTGAGAGCCTGTCAGTGCTGGCAGAGCCCTGTGAGTGCACGGGTGGAGGTGAGAGCCCTGTGTTCTGCCAATGCTGCAAGCTGACTGTGACACAGGCAGATTGGGACATCGTCAAGGAAGAGACTGTGGGTGTAGGCAGTGAAGGAGCTGGGTTGGGAACCACTCTTTGGAAACCTCCACGTTGATCCTCTTTGACCTAATCTTGCTTTTGTGAGTCCCATTTTTTTTCTTTTCTTGGTGGATTTTTATTTGTACTTCTATCTTAACGTCTCCAGTAACAATTATCGGTACATCTTGGCATTCAGCATGTTTTATAATGACAGCTGTATTGTCTTCTGCTTGGTCATGCTATTCCTGAGTACAATAAACGTTTTCTTTTCCTTTTCCGTAGTAGAAGCGTTTACAGTGGTTCTCAACCTTCCTAATGCTGTAGCCCTTTAATACAGTTCTGTTTTGAGAACCGCTGTTTTAAGAAGACAGCTCACTGTTTCTCCCTCAGCCTAGAAAGACCAAATTCAACAAACTTCGTCATCCTTTTCCCGTTCATGCCCTGTCTTGGTAGGAAGGGCTTCAGCAGGGAATTGCAAGAACACATTTTTAAAGATAAAAACCAAAACCTGGGGATTTGCCTAACTTTGGGACAGACAGATGGAAGTTAAGGCTCTGAAATGTAGCTGCTTTTTTTTTTTCTTAACTTTAAATAGATTTAGGGGGTGCAAGTGGGTTTTCATCACATGGCTGAATTGCACCCAGAAGTCTAAGCCTTTAATGTGCCCATCACTTGCACCCAGTAGGTGATTTTTTTTAGTTAGTTTCATTATGACGCCCTCGGTAGAGTGCTGTGGCATCACAACTCACAGCAACCTCAAACTCTTGGGCTTAAGTGATTCTCTTGTCTCAGCCTCCCAAGTATCTGGGACTACAGGTGCCTGCCACGACGCCCGGCTATTTTTTTATTGTTGTTGCAGTTGTCATTGTTTTAGCTGGCCCAGGCTGAGCTCGAGAACCCTCCAGCCTCAGTGTATGTGGCCAACGCCCTAGCTACGGGCACCACCCCAGTAGGTGATTTTTTATCTGACCCTCCTCGCCCTGAGTCTCCAGTGTCCAGTAGGTGACTCTGTCTGATAGACTAGTAACTCAGCTCCCGCTTGTGAGAACATGCGAGATTCAGGTCTTTGTTCCTGGGTTACTTTACTTAGGACAGAATGTGGTTTCTTTTTAATGTTCCTCACTGTCTCCACTTTTATCTTATGGGCCTCCCATCTTAGCAGTGTATTGTGGGTCAGCCCTACTCTCAGAAAAGTGTCAGTCTGTGAGGACAAGTCAGCCATCTTCATTCTCCTGTAAAGAAACAGTGCAATTCAGGTGATAGACTTATCATGAAGTGGCAGAAGTCTTTGCTCTGTAAACCTACTGCCGTGGTGACCACTGGGGTCCTCTGTGTGTCGGCAGCTCCTTCTGTGCTGCAGGGGAAGTTGTGTGGAGGATTTAACATGGTACCCTCTGAGGGTCATGAGACCTCCAGCCAAACTTTGATGTAAATCACACTAACCTGGAGGGAAATCAGGCTGAATTACAGTGTCCTGGTAGAGCTTTAAAGCAAAGCCTGTGCTTGTGCCCATCTAAGTGTGAGTAGACCGTGTGTACCAAGCTGTCCTTGCCAGGGACCACAGCTCTGAAGAGCAGAAGGGCGCTGGGTGGGTGTCTGTCTGCCCTCTGGGTCCTCTCTCAGCGCTGGCATCTTTCTTTTTTTTTTTTTTT